CAAAAGCCCCTGTGTGAAAATATCTTACTATGTCAGGAGAGACTGCCATAGCTACATTTTTCCAAAGATCCCATTACTCCTCAGCCCAGAAAAAAAATATAAAAGTGACATCTTGAACTAGGTAACCCATACGTAGAGCATTAGTGCTTAATGTCTTTGAGTTTTAATAAAAGTAATAAACCTTCCCAATTTTTTTACTGTAACTTCAGATGGTTTGTTAAGGTAATATAAAATTCAACCCAGTGTAGCCTACCAACTCAAGAGAAGGCCAAGCAGGGAGGCCTTTGGTTCTCTGGCTGGGACCATTAGACGCCAAGCAGTAGTCCTCACCACCAAGATACTTGCTCCCCCAGTTCTGCCCCATCCAAGCCAGAGATGCTTGCCTGAAGTTGTGAAAATGTTGTGTTGGCACTAGATATGTCACCAAGAGGTGGTATGTATTTCTTCTTCTACCTCTTTAACGTTTTTACTAAAAACTGCTATGCCAAGCAGCCACAACTTAGAAGGGGACTGGCACTGAACAAAATGAGAATTAAGAAACTTCGAATATCCTTGACATCCTTTCCTTCCCTAAACTCAATTGCTGCATTCTCAAAGCTCTTCCTCCCTCCCATTCTCCCTATAATTGATGCTATGGGGTGCATTGTGCTCATGCACACTCAAGGCCAGAAAAGTCAAGTTTGATGTTCCCAAGAACATTCTTAACCAGTGACTAAGGAAGTTGCTGTATAAATACTGCAAGTCCTCGTTCTCTTGGGTGGGAGAACTCTGGGGTGCGTGTTCCATGCTGGTTCTGGGAGTTCCCTGGTAGGATTTAGCTTCAGTCACCCACATGGGTAATTTTCCTGACAATTTATCTGCTACTGGCTACTTGCCCACCTAACTTCCTTTCCTGTGTAACAGTGTTTTCCTCACCTGCCACATAAATTGCTTGCATTTGTATCCTTGTCTCAGGGTCTGCTCCTGAGTGAATTCAAACTAAGAGGCTCTACTTCGCCCCCACTGAATGCTCTCTGGGTGGACTCTTACAGGCTCAGTTTTATCAAGGTATAAACAGCTTCTAAGGATCAGGGAATATTTAAAAGCAGAAATATCATTAAGGCAGTAGTTCTAAAGCAGTGGGCTGGACACAGAGGACTTCTTGACGGGTTTGCTGCCAAGTTTTGATCTAACGGTAAAATCTATTTTTGCAACAATTGATTGTACTCATTGTTATTCACTGTCAGACAGACTTGTGAACTGAGAATACCCTTGGGGACAGAGTAAATTGGGGTACCATTTGTAGCACATATGAGCAAAGAAGCCCAGCATTATGTCAAACCACAAAATGATAATATGTTCTTTTGAGAGGACACGACAGGCTTCCAGGTCAGGATAGTAAATTGTTCTGCTCAAATAGTGACATTGAGTCAAAGAATTGCCACATAACTAATGGGATAATCATGGGTGATATGCAGACACTTGAGACATCATAGAACTGTAGAAGGATTGTGTTGTCATTATGGTGGACTTGTTGAGTATGGTTGAGTCTCTTTATTCCTTTAACCTTAGAAGTGTGCCAAAACATACACACATAATCTTTAATTGTGGCTTTCAGATTACAGCCCGTGAGAGGGATCTGGGAGAAAGAGACGATGAGGAAACCTTTTTGGGGACTTTGAAATCACATACCAGAACCACCATCTACCACCACCACCCACATTTGTAGAGTGCTTGTGCTGTATCAGTTGTTTTCAAATGAGGCTGCAGGGAACTCTAGGGCTCTAAGAAGGAACTCGGGAGGTTTCACCAACAGTAAAAGACTTGGTTCCAAATACAGAATGTTTAAACTGACTGTGAGATTCAGTTCTCAGGTTTACATACCGATTTTGTTTGAAAAAAATCCCATCACTAAATGTACAGTTTGAAAACCATAGATATGCCTGATCATTTTATTCTCATAACTACCCCTAACTTGCAGGTGAGGAGAGTAAAGTTGAGAGAAATTAAATGGCATGCCTGAAGCCACAGACTAGACGTGAGCTAAACTGTGGTACACAGCTATGGTCCAAAACCTCACCATGTCCAGTGCTCTTTCTTCTACATTATACTACATGTGAGTATTGATGATGAAACACATGGTTTAGCAATTTCTTGACCATGGCACTTGCTTTGGTGAGAATCGGTCAGAAAACAGTTTATAGATAGTTCTTAGAATTGAGGCTGCTTCAAGAAATTCACCAAAACATCTCCAAAGCATTCCCTCCCTGAGCCATACTTAACACTTGTTATTCCAGGAGCTGCTTTGATGAGATATTCTCACAGCTGGTCTAATATGCCTACACTGTGCATACACTTTGCTGAATGCCCTCAAATTTCACCTGTGTCAATCTACTATTGCTGCAATACTGCTGCAAAATAAAACCTCTGTGACTGAGGAAGATAAGCCTTTCTTTTTCTCACTTACAGGTGTGTAAGTTGACTAGGGCAATTCTGCCTTAGTTCAGAATTGAAGTCGTAACTGTTCCATGGGACTAATTCTGAGGCACAGAGAGAAATGACAGTGGCTACCCAAGTCATGCTCTTCTCTTGGCTGTCAGAATAGCAGAAGGCCAAGCCAAACAGTGCAAGCATTATTTAGGACCTCTGCTAGAGTCACATCCAATCACATTCCATTGACCAGAACAAGTCAATGCCCAAGCCCAAAGTCAGTGACTCAGGAAGTGTACTGTGTCCCAAGGTGAAAGGGAAGTGAGCGAAGATTTTCTGAACAATACCTCAATCTATCACATCAGCTAAAAATGTGATTCCCAGGAAGGGAGGTCAAGCAGGTCTTTCCAAAGTCCTCTAAATTTAAAATGCAGTACTATTAATCAGGTTAGTCCTATAAGCTGCCAGGAGACCACCTCGAAGAGAAATGTGTAATGGCACTCTTCCAGGCTAGAGACAGCAAGATAGTAATTATCTAGTAGAGACTGTGGCATTTCAAAAATCAACTACTTTAATTGCAAAAACCTGCTCCAAACCAAACTTTTAAATCCCCTTTCTTAGAGGATGGGACCTGAAAACAGAGAGAAAAAGATGTGGATGACTTATATTCTCCATCCTCAATAATCAATTTCTAGCAATGGAAATCTTGGCAAAGATACAGAACAGCACAGCAGCTAAAAACAGAGACTACTTAGTTTCACAATTGCATGTTTGAGTCTCTACCAATGCTGAACACATTGGATCTTCCTTCCAACTCCACAACATCCTTTTCCCCTCTTTCTTCTTAATAAAATTCCAATTTCTCTCTGGAGACATTCCCCCTCAGGGGACAATGACCCACCTCCAGCACAAACCCCAGGGATAGGCTTAGAGGGAATTTCATTCACTTTGCCAATGATTGGTTCCCAAGTAGGTAATTGATCTAGATTGGGACAATGAGACACACAGTGTGCCTGTGGGAAAAGTTTGCTGGAAGGAAGGGAAAGGGATTTCAAAAACAAAGTTTCCGCACTCCAAGGAGAAAACCCTAGGAAGAAACTGTCCCCGTCTTCTTCCCCTGGACATAGCAAAGGGAACTGTGGGGGATGCTTTTATTTTTTTAAACATTACACATTTACCACATGTTCTTTTTTAGCACTGTGAGAAAATAGACATAAGCAATATGGGAAAAGAAAGAGGAAGTTCACACCTGGTCCCTTTGCCCAAAGAAATCGCTGTGAACACTTGTATTTTTTCAGAATTTTTTTGTTGGTGGCTGCTTTGAGAAGGAAAGGAAAGAGGAAAAACCAGTATCCTCATGCACTGCTTCTGGGGGGCTGCATTGGCTTGGCCTTCTACTATTCTAGATGTCATTGCTAGTGCCCTATTTCTACCCGAGGATGTAAGCGACAGGAAGATGGCAGAGCAGAGAGGTGGAAAGAAGAGGTACCCTGAGGACATTGCTGAGCTGCCGAATCACCAGCCTCCCCTGAATCTTTTATTATCTCATTTAAAAGTGAAATAATCACTTTTAAATGAGATAATAAAAGATCCTTGTTGATGACCTTGACTTGAAGTCGAAGGTGACTTAACAGTATCTACCTCAGCCACTTCCTAGCCGTGTGCCTTTGAGTAAACCTCTTAATTCCCTTAACTCCATTTTTGCGTCAGTACCTCTGTCCTAGAATTGTTGTGAGGAGTGAATGGCAAGACATATGAAGCATTTGCAAACTTGCTGTGTCTAGTAGCTGGTAAGGGGGCAACAGCTCACAGTATGGTTTTTGTTACAGGGCTTTTTGGTGTCTTCTAGCAAGAAAGTACAGGTCTGGGACAAAAAAAGGCAGTTTCTGCACCTCCTTCATGTTTAGGTTTGTCGCCCCCTGGCCATTTCTTCTAGAAATTTACAACAGAAACCATCACAATGGGAAGGGTTCCTGTCTTCTCTAGGGTGTGGCAATAAGGATCTTCTGCAGTCATCACTCCCAAGCCTGTGAGTGGGTAGGAGTCTCAAGGAGAACAGACATGGGGGGTGCTTTTGTTTTTTAAACATTACAAAATTATTACATGTCCTTTTTTAGCGCTATGAGAAAATAGAGATAAGCAACATAGGAAAAGGAAGACAAAGTTCACACCTGATCCCAGCATCCAAAGAAATCGCTGTGAACACTTGTGTATTTCCTTTCAGACTTTTTTGGTGGTGGCTGCTTTGAGAAGGAAAGAAGGAAAACCAGTATCTTCATGCACCACATCTAGGAGGGTGCACTGGTAAAGCCTTTACTAGAAGGCAACTTTGCAAGATTAAAAAATAGTAATAATGCACTTCCCCTTTCACTCAGCCATTCTGCTTCTAGAAATCCAGCCCCTGGAAGTGACAATGGAGGTAGTAGGTACATAGATTCGAAGTGCCAGCACCTTTCTACACACCTTATGTGATTCAGTCAGTCCTCACAGCTTCATTGAAATATAATTCATATATGACTTAGTCCATTAAACTGCTTTAACAAAACACCATAAACTGAATAGCATATAGACAACAGAAATTCATTTCTTACCGTTCTGGAGGCTGGGAAGTCCTAGATCAATGCACGGGCAGATTCGGTGTCTATTGAGGGCCCACTTTCTGGCTTGTAGATGATGCCTTCCTGCTATGTCCTCACAGTGGAAGGGGTGAGGGATCTCTCTCCAGCCTTTTAAGTAATGGAAATAATCACATTCAGGAGGGCCCCACCCTCATGACCTAATCACCTCCCAAACATCATCACATTAGTAATTAGGTTTCAATAGATGAATTTCAGGGGGACATAAACATTCAGACCGTAGAACCATGCAATTCAACCATTTAAAGTATACAATTCAATGGCTTTTAGTATATTCACAGATATGTGCAACTTCAGCACAGCAAATTTTAGAACATTTTTATCACCCCAAAAAAGAAACTTCACACCCATTAACATTTGCTCTCCATTTCCTCCCTTCCAGCCCCTAAAAGCCACTTATCTACTTTCTGTCATTATACATTTGGCTACTCTGGAAATTTCATATAAATGGAATCATGTAATATGTAGCCTCTTATAACTGGCTTGTTGCACTTAGCATAACATTTCAAAGGTCATTCATGTTGGATTCTGTATCAGTACTTCGCATCTTTTTAATGAGAAATAACATTCCTGTGTGTGACTGTGCCACATTTTGTTTATCTCTTCATTAGTTGAACAGTTGGGTTGTTTCCACCTTTTGGCTGTTATGAATAATGCTGCCATGAACATTTCTAAACCAATTTTTGTGGCAACATGTGTGTTTATTTCTCTTGAATATATACCTCTGAGTGGAATTGCTTGGTTAAATTGTAACTCTGTGTTTAACATTTTGAGGGAACTCCCAGACTGTTTACAAAATGATGCAGCTGCATCATTTTAGAGTCTCACCAGCAGTGCGTGAGGGTTCCAATTTCTCCACATCTTCACCCACACTTGTTATCTATTTTTTAAAATTATATGCATGGCCAGTGAGCCTAAAGTGCTGTCTCATCATGGTTTTCATTTGGATTTCCCTGATGGCTAGAGGGAGACTATGATCATTACTGTCAATGCACAGATCAGGAAACTGAGGCGGCGAGAGGGTAATTGATTTATATACCATGACTTATTAAGTGTCCAAAATTGTGTGTGTACAACAGCACATGCAGAAAGAAGTTTGCTACAACACTATTCATGAAAACAAAAACTATGTTTACTAGCAGGGGGTTATTCCTACAGAGAACCACTATGTAACTACCAAAGAACAGGGAAGGACCATTCTGGCTGACATGGAATGAGCTCCAAGACATATTGTTAGTGAAAAAAGCCAGCTGCACAATCATATGTACAGCACAAACCTGTTTATATTAATACATATATGGATTGGAAGGCTCCTCACCAAACTGTTCACAATATCCCCTAAAATGTAAGCTGCAAGACAGCAGGGATTTTTGTCATTTGGCATATGGCAAATGTCTGTATTGCCAACCTTCAAACAGCACATAATAACAGCAGAATCTGTTGTTAAATGAACAATTCCTTGAGAAAGAGGAATGGAAGGCAGGAATATATGCAGACGAACTCATTTTATTCTGAGACCCACGTTCTCTATACATGAATTCAAGTAGTAGTTATATTATTTTTGACACAGAAAAAAATAATGTGGAATTCTTGGGGCCCTTAGCAAGAAAAAGATGAGGTCCCCGGAGAGTTGGTATATAACTGAGGAATGGCCTCAGTCTTTTCTGCAGATGCTGCGAGGACCCTTCTGGGCCACAGTGTCCCTCATTTCAAGTGAATGCAGCTCCCACCCACCTGAGCTCCACCTCTTAGGGCTGAACTAGGGTTGATTCACTGGTGGGGCAGACACAGGTCTGCTCCTGCCCTGCTGGACATCCCATGCTGATCAATAAGCTGCTCTTGCAGTTAACAGGAATCCAATGTTGGGATACTTGCAGTGAATCTTGTTTTCATGCCTGAGAAGATCTTAAAAATCAATAAGCATTAGAGGGACATGACCATGTATTGTTCATTCTATTGTTTTTTCAATATTTTTAAATTTTTCATTCCGCTTAAGCCCTCTGAAGAGGCCCAAGGATCAAGCGCTTCTTGTGAAACACAGACAGGTGCATACGTCACATCATTTAAGGCTAATGGCAGCTGAGTGAGTTGAGAGACAATTATGGAAGGGACCAGGTGCTGTGACTTTACTCTGTTTTGCCAGTCAAGTCAGGATAAAGGAATAATCTACACTTTACAACAGCTGCAGATTATAAAACTCAAACAGTGAAAATGGCAAGTTGCACCAAAAATAAGGATTAGTGGGAGCCAGGACAAGAGATTTGTAGGTTGGATGGACAACAGACTGCTCCTCACAGTTAAAGGGGATGTTATGGATCTGATAATGTCTTCTCGCTTTTTTTTTTTTTTTCTGAGATGGAGTCTCTGTCATCAAGGCTGGAGTGCAGTGGCGCCATCTTGGCTCACTGCAACCTCTGCCTCCCAGGTTCAAGCGATTCTCCTGCCTCAGCCTCCTGAGTAGCTGGGATTACAGGCACATACCACCACACCCAGCTAATTTTTGTATTTTTAGTAGAGACAGGGTTTCACCATGTTGGTCAGGCTGGTCTCAAACTCCTGACCTTGTGATCTGCCCACCTAGGCCTCCCAAAGTGCTGGGATTACAGGCGTGAGCCACCACATCTGGCCGTCTTTTTATGAGCAAGATATCTCCACATTCTCTTACTCTATCTCTTTTCTCCTGCCAAGAAGGCACAGAGCCAGGTTTTCAGTGGGGTACGGCATTGTTTTTGACTTCTCCTGACATAACTGTTCAAGCACCAAGTCCTGTGGATTTCACTCCAAAATCAGTTTTCATCGCATTTATTTCTCTCCATCCCCACTGTCATTCTTTCAGCTCAAGTCACCGTCACCCTGAGTCTAGATGTGTGAGGTAGCTTCCTAAGCTGTCTTCCTGCCTCAAGGAAGAGTCCTGCTTCCCCTCCACTTCCTTCTCCACACAGAGAAAGACTAAACTCGAGAGGAAGAGTTGCCTTGCGATTAGGGCAGTGTGGACTTTGGAGCCAGGATGCCTGGGCTCGAATCCTGACTCCTCCGGATATGTGACCTTGAGCTGGTAACCACTCTTCTGTGCTTTGGCTGGCTTGTCTCTAAAATAGAGTTGCTAATTTGTACATACTTGATAAAAGTACAGCAAGGATTAAGCAAACTCATATAGATGAAGTGCTTAAAATGGGGGCTGCCAGATCCTAGCAGCTGCACACACATGAGCCAGCATTTTTCTTCTCTTATTTTTATTTTTATTTTGAGACAGTCTTGCTCTTGTTGCCCAGGCTGGAGTGCAGTGGCGCGATCTCAGGTGACTACAACCTCCACCTCCCAGGTGATTCTCCTGCCTCAGCCTCCTGAGTAGCTTGGATTTCCGGCACCTGCCACCATGCCCAGCTAATTTTTTTTGTATGTTTAGTAAAGATGGGGTTTCACCATGTTGTCCAGGCTGGTCTCGAACTCCTGAGCTCAGGTGATCTGCCTGTCTCAGCCTCCCAAAGTGCTAGGATTACAGGTGTGAGCCAGCACCCGGCTGAGCCAGCATCTTTCTGAAATGAAGCCCCCCTATTTATGCTGTGGTCGGGACAAAGTCCAACATCCCCATATACCTTTAAGACTCTGTAGGACCTGCCTACCTTTCTCTTCCCATCTCTTGGTGACTCTTCTTCACATGTGACACTCGTTAAATGTCTTTTTGTTCCTCTAGCAAGATAAGCCAGCAAGCCTACACCCACGCCGTTCCCTCTGCCTAGTACATTGTCCGCCAAATTCTCCCCCATCCCTGCTTCAAGGATCACTCTTCTCTCAGGTCTTAGATGCTGGTTTCTTTAGAAGCATCCCTCGTGCATCCAAGTCTGATTCGGGGCCCTTCTTTGTGTTCCTCTGGCACGCTTACCTCCCATCAATGCACTGCTACGTTGTAGTTTCCAGTTTTTACTACAAAATATTTCACACAGAAAAGCCAAAAGCCAAAAGCATGGTGCAATCATAGTACAGTCAACTCCCATATACTCCCAACAATTGGTAATGTTTTGCCGTATTTGCTCATTCTATCTCTGTGTGTCTCTCCTTCTTTCTCTCTGTATTTCTTTATTTTGTTTCCAGGTAAATTATCGGCATCATGACATTTCACTCCTAAACATTCCAACTTGCATCTCCCCAAAAGAAAAAAAAGGCTGAGGGGGTATTCTCCCACCCAAAACAATGCTCTCATCACACCTTAAAAAATGAATAATTCTCTAGTATCACTGAATGCTTGGTTTATATTCAAATTTTCCCAGTCATTTCCCAGTTTCCTCTTAGGGCCTTCCTGCTCCATTGCGTTTGAATTGCTCCTCCACTGGGCTAAGGGCTCTGTGAGGAATGGAAGGGGTCCTCTCTGCTCTCCTCTCCCAGCACACAGATCAGGGCAGCCCTTCCATATGTGTTTGTTGAAAGAAAGAACAACCCCCTGACCCGCCATGCCCCACTTCCTCCAGCTGGGAAGGATCCTTGGCCCCCTACACACACACTGACCTTGGTAATGAAATAGCACCCCTTCTGTGGTTCAAGTCAGAAACCTGAGAGGCATTCTAGACCAACCCCTCCCTCAGGTGGCTGCAACTCTCTCCAGCTTAACCCCTCCCCACTCCCATAATCTCAGCCAGGGCTTCGGTTCTGCCCTTCATCTTCCCTCACCCATCCCCCTGAGCCTTGACGCCCCTGATGCTCAAGTGCGTCCCCATCCTGCCTCAGATTTCCCTCTAAAAGGCAAACCCACTATGGTCATAACTGTGTTTCAAACCCTTCTATCTTCCTCCCAGGGCCCAACCTGCCTACCAAGTTCCAATCTGGCAGCTCCTCCACCTCCTTCCTTCTCTCTTCTGACTCCTGCCCTCCCTTGATCCCTGGCCCATGCTCGAGTAGTTCATCCATAGGTCTCCCAGCACACCATGCTTTTCCATATCTCTGCGCCCTCTCCCTCAACCACCTGCTTCCAGCGCTTTACCTTCCTCTGAAAGCTGGAGAGGAACTCAGACATCATTTTTCCCAGGGCCCATTCAATGACCTGCCCTTTCCTGGAGGGGAGCCCACAAAAGCCTTGGGCACAATAAATGTTTGTTAAATAATTGCTGAGTGGGTGAACAGAAATATCGTCCTCCCCTTCCTCCCTGGACGGAGGCAGCTGCAGCTCTAGCCCATCCCAGGCCTTTGCCCTGGGCCCCAACGTTAGCCCAGCCCAGCCCAGCTCTGCACTGCTGCCAAATGAACCTGACACAGCCTTGGCAGGCAGCCTCTGAACCACTGCCAGGCCCATTTGTAGCCTTCCCTCTTCTAAGGATGAATGGGCAACAACGGGCTTGGGCTTTTTTTATTTGTAAAGAAAATAATTAAAAATCTAATCAAAAAAGAGGGATAAAAAAGAAAGAAAGAGCTTTATATTTGGAAGTCCTCTTTAGGTAAAGTATCTCCCGGGAGATAGAAGGTGCGATGATATGGCCCCTTCTGCTTTGAATAAAATTCTCAGAATGCAATATTGCTGATATAGTTTGGATGTGGGTCTCCTCCAAATCTCATGTTGAAATATGACTGCCAGTGTTGGAGGTAGGGTCTAGCGGGAGGCGTTTGGGTCACTGGGGCAGATCCTTCATCAATGAATTGATGCTGCCCTGGTGATATTGGAGTGGGTTCTCACTCCGCAAGTTCAAAGGAGAGATGGTTGTTTAAAAAGAGCCTGGCACTCTCTTGCTCCCTCTCTCACCACGTGACTTGCCTGCTCCCCACTCACCTTCCACCATGAGTAAAAGCTCCCTGAGGCCTCACCAAAAGCTGAGCAGATGCAAGTGCCATGCTTGTACAGCCTGCAGAACTATAAGCCAAATAAACCACTTTTCTTTATAAATCACCCAGTCTCAGGTATTCCTTGACCGCAACACAAAACAGACTAACAGAACTGCCTTTATGCATTTCTACCAAAAAAAGACATTTCACTTGTACTTTGTTACTTTGCTGATTAAATTACACTGGGGTAGGGATGGGGGACTTTCAAGCAGTCAAAGAATTTTGCTGGGTACATGCGCTCAACTCACACCATAACTAAGAAGGCTCCTGAGACACCTGTCACCCCTGTCACCAGCCCCTGTGTCACAAGTGGTGCAAGCAGAGATGAAGTTTTTTTTTTACCTTTATAGTTTTCTGCTAAGAAGAAATGTCCTATTCGCACAGACCAAACTCTAGCAGGTAAAAGCTCTAAGAAGCCTGGATGGTGAAGGTCCAGAGAAGTATATCATGAAATAGGTTGAGGCTTGAATCTCTACTCCCCTCCCTGCACTAGCTGAATAATTTCTTTTGGATGAATTTGTTAACCTTCCTGAGCTCCAGATTTCTCTTCCACATCTAGAAGAACTCCTAGGGGTCTTTATGGAAACTAACTGAGATGTTGCTTGTGTAGTGGGATGTAAAAATGACTTTGGTCTCAGTTTGGGTAATGCCAAGGAAAAAAGACATGTTTCAAAGTGAGCTGTGACTCTGTTGCCATCATGCAGGGTTGACAGAAGAAGTGGCATGAAGCAGGTTTCCCTCTTACCTGACCACCTCCAGCCCACGAAGAAGGCTGGATGAGGAGAGCAGTTGGTGGAGTAGAGAAGGAATTTTGAAGACAGCGATAGGTGCACACCAAGTCCCAATTGCCCGCTATCCACCCTCCAGGAGTGGCCTCCAAGATGCTGTGTCCCTGGAGGTTGACTGTCACTGAGGGCTGATGGCTGAATCATGTCTGAGAATCCCAAAATACAAGAGAGACGGAGTGGTCAGCTGGGAGTGAGGAGAAAGTGGTCGCTTTGGATTTTCTGGGAAAATGGAACCTGAGTATTTTCTGCAAGCCAGAGATATACCATGGCCAACCTGTGGGATGTGTAGGTCCTTCTGACAAGAACCACCAGGAAGGATGAAAATTCATCTTCAGAAAAAAGTTGACAGCACCTGTTGTGGCCTGAACTATCCTCCCAAAATTTCTATGATGAAGCCCTAACCCCCAGGACCTCAAAATGTGACTGTATTTGGAAGAAAGACCTTTTAAAAAATGTGATTAGGTTAAAGGCCTACCTTAGGGTAGGCCTTAATCCACTCTGACTGGTGTCCTTATGAGAAGAGGCCATTTGGACACACAGAGAGACACCAGGATGCACACACAGAGGAAAGACCATGTGAGAACACGGTGAGAATGTAGCCATCCAGCAAGCCAAGGACAGAGACCTCCCGAGAAAACAAACCTGCCAACACCTTGATCTGGACTTTTAGCCTCCAGAACTGTGAGAAAATTCAGTTCTGTTGTTTAAGCCAGGGGTCCCCAACTCTCAAGCCATGGACCAGTACTGGTCTGTGGCCTGTTAGGAACCAGGCCACACAGCAGGGAGAGAGAGAGAGAGCAAAGCTTCATCCATATGTACAGCTGCTCCCAACCATTCACATTACCGCCTGAGCTCCGCCTCCTGTCAGACCAGCAGCAGCATTAGATTCTCATCGGAGTGTGAATCCTATCGTGAACTGCGCATGAGAGGGATCCAGGTTGCACGCTCCTTATGAGAATCTAATGCCTGATGATCTGTCACTGTCTCCCATCACCCCCATATGAGACCATCTAGTTGCAGGAAAACAAGCTCAGGACTCCCATCGATTCTACACTATGGTGAGTTGTATAATTATTTCATTATATATTACAATGTAATAATAACAGAAATAAGGCTGGGCATGGTGGCTCACATTTGTAATCTCAACACTTTGGGAGACTGAGGCAGGCAGATCACAAAGTCAAGAGTTCAAGACCAGCCTGGCTAACATGGTGAAACCCCATCTCTACTAAAAACACAAAAATTTGCCCAGCGTGGTGGTGCGCGCCTATAATTCCAGCTACTTGAGAGGCTGAGGCAGGAGAATCACTTCAACCCAGAAGGCAGAGGTTGCAGTGAGCCAACACTGTGCCATTGCACTCCAGCCTGGGCAACAGGAGAGAGACTCCATCTCAAAACATTATAATAATAATAGAAATAAGGCAAACAATAAATGTAATGCATGTGAACCATCCTGAAACCATCCCCACCTTGTCTGTGGAAAAAAGTTTCTTCCACAAAACCAGTCTCTGGTACCAAAAAAACTGGGGACTGCTGGTTTAAGCCACCCAGTCTGTGATACTTTGTCATGGCTGCCCCAGCAAAAAAAATCTGGCACTGCTTATATGCTTGGGAACTAAGGAAGGAGTCTTAGTATGCAACCAGCTTCAAGGGACCAGCAACTCAGAATCCCCAAAGATGAGAAATAATGGTACTCTCTGAAGTATCCACAAGATTGTGCCAAGAGAGAAAGGACTGGGTTTACACACCCACCAGGACCTACCATTGAAATGCGTTAATGTGGCAAGCATTAACCAAGTAAGGACCTCCGGCTCCTTTCCTGCCTCCTGACTTCTCCCCTTCCCCTGCCAGGAGTCAGAATCCTCAGTGAGCCAGAGGAGGGAAGGATGGAAGCTTAAGGTGGGAAGTGAGAAGTCAACTGCAGATCCCCTTTCCCAGCTGCAGGCCTTCCTGAAGGAGGGAGAGAAGTCTCCATTGGGAACTAAATTCGAAGGTCTGGCTGATTCCCTGGGACTGGACATCCCAATTGCTGGATGAGGCTGTGCTGGAACTAAAAGTGACTTAAGAAGTTTTGATTCCTGAAGTGGGGCCAGAAGAGTTGTGGATCTGCCTTAATTTTCATCCCAGGGCAAGGGAAGAGTGAGGACTCACAGAAAAAAAAATTAGGGACAACAAAAGGCAAAAGTAAGCTTGCTTCCATAATATTCCCTGTGAGGCCTGTGTATTTAACATATGTTCTCCTACACATGAGGCAACTTAGCTGGTCTCTGGCCAAGAAAGAGTTATCACTCATTGAGCAATTCTTATCCTTTCAAATTCCTTCACTGTCATCATTGAGCTTTCCATCTTCTTTATGCAAGACAAAAGCTGACACCAATAGAAAAATCATTTAAAACAAACAAACAAAAAACATTCCTTGAGCTGTCGACTTGGGTGCAGATGTTGTATGAAGCCAGAGACTGAAGTCACCCCCTATACCCCATGACCTAGAGAAGCATACTAACTCCAGACGAGCAGGGCTGGGCAGGCCTAATATTCCCATAATACTTCAGAGAAAACTGAGTTCAAATCCAGGCTCTGCTATTTAACAACCGTGTTACCCTGGGTGAATGACTTAAATTCTCTGTACTTCGATTTCCTCACCCATAAAATAGAGACCATAAAGTATCCATCCAATAGGGGTATTATGTGGAATAGTGGAGGAAATAGATGCAAAACACTTAGAACACTGCCTGGCACAGGGCAAAGGACTCAATACATATAGCTATCATTACACATCATTGTCCCTCAAAGTGAAATCTTGTAATGACCTCAGTTTGTTAGCATGGTGTTGTAAAAAAGTGCTTTATAAGGGGCATAATAATGGAAAGTGCAGATTCTAGAACCAGACTGCCTGGGTTTGAATGAACCAAGAATCTGAGGCACGTTGTGGAAGTGTTTGCTATCATTGCTATTCATACAGTGAGAAACATACAGTAATATGTATACATATGCAACACACAGAGTAAGAGCTTAGTACTAGCAGCTAGTATTAAGGGAACAGTCACCTCAATAAATCTACATGGGCTGTGAAGATCCTGGTCACCCAGAGATATCAGAGGTATTGAAAAGGGCCAGACAGGCAGAGGGTATTTTCCTAATCTGGAGGCTGCTGAACTTGACCTCTGTTGCTTTTCATTATTTATTCAACAGCAGATGGTGGCTCTCCAGAAAATAGGATGTCTTGAAGCCAGAAACCCATCCTTCTTGGGCTAGAAACTCAGTCATTCCCTGCAACCTCACCCCCTAGCCCCAAGCTTGCAGGAAAACAAGCTCAGGACTCCCATTGATTCTACACTATGGTGAGTTGTGTAATTATTTCTCTCTTGTGTTACCTGGTCTGGTTTCTTCTTCCAGGGCAGGTCCCAGCTTGCTGGAGAGAGGTGAAACATCATGGCCTTTCCCACCTTCCAAGAAGGGGATGTTCCTGTGGGTCCAGAGCTCTCTAGGCCTGGCTTGCTACTCACTGACCTGGGGCCTGAAGGCTGTCAGAGAAGCAGGCAGAAAATATGAGAGACTGATACCCCCTGCAGGAAATCATCGTTTAGCTGATTCCAGAACTAAAAAACAAGTGCAACGTTGGAGAAAGGAGGGTAACGTGTCTTTCAAGGGCATTGTTACAGCCACTGCTCTGTGTGGTGGGGAAACAAAGCAGGCCTGTGTGTGTGAGGACAATGCTGTTGTGTTACTAGTCGCTTCTGTGTTACTCCTGGGGACAGCAGGATGAGAAACGAGGCCACAGTGTCTTCTCTGGTGGACTTCACTCATCATAGTAGCCAGGCCAATCAGAGCTGGGAGAGGAGCTTTGGACATTCAGCTTATGACATTAGGTAACAGGGTTCAGGGGACATGCTTTCAGGTGTGACCACCTGCCTATGTGGTAGTCTTCTATACATGACAGATCACAAATGCCCCTTCCTCTTCTCTTACTTGCTTTCAGAAACTTACCACAAGCTAGAGCTGAAAAGAATGAGACATACCACTTCTCCAAACACATATGTCATCTACTTCAACTCCTAACTTCTGTGATGGGACATCTGGCCGGGGCTAATCCCCAGCCAAGCAGCACATTAGCAGCAGCGGGCAAGACTAGATGAATCTACAAGGCTGCACCCACTGAACCCCCATAATGAACCAGACACTAGGCCAGAAGCAAGCTGGCAAAATGACCTCATTTGCTCCTGCCTTCGAATGCGGGCTCTGCAACTATTACCCATGGTGTTTTCTCTGGGTGTTAGCTTTCCCATCTGTAAACTGGGATTATGATTGGGCTCCTGTGAGGATTAAATGAATTAATATATATGCAAAACTCTTGTAACAGTGGCTGGCCCATAAAAGTGATCAAGAACCGTAAATCACAAATTTGATGCCCACATTACACCTGAAACTTGCTTGGACTCATGAGGAGATGGTGTGGGGGTGGCTGGAAAACCAGGATCCCAAGTGTCTGTATTTAGCCCTGCTTCCAACTACTATGGTCTAAGTTCACCCTGTTAGGTCCCTGAGGGAATTGGGCTCTAATAAATATTCTCAAGTATGAGGCAGGTGACAAATGTTTGGAGAGGGCCCACTGTGATGCAACAGTGTGTGGTGGGAACTGTGGGATTTGGAAAGCTCATACCAGTCTTCAGGGGCAGCCAGGGCTCAGCCCCAGCCAACTGCTGCAATGCAGAAAGATGGAAACAGCATGGCTGGGCCTGCCAATGTCTAAAGAAAAACCAGAAGGCTGGATTTCTTTTTTTGAGATGGAGTCTCACTCTGTCACCAGGCTGGAGTGCAGTGGCACGATCTTGGCTCACTGCAACCTCCGACCCTCTGGTTCAAGCGATTCTGCTGCTTCACCCTCCCAAGTAGCTGGGATTACAGGCATCCACCAACACGCCCAGCTAATTTTTGTATTTTTAGTAGACATGGGGTTTCACCACATTGGCTACGATGGTCTCAATCTCCTGACCTTGTGATCCACCCGCCTTGGCCTCCCAAAATGTTGGGATTACAGGTGTGAGCCACCATGCCTGGCCGAGCCTGGATTTTTATGTCAAGTTTTCCAATTTTGAAACACTGGACCAAACACAACCTTGTTGGTGTAAAGTGAGCCCTAAACCATGCAGTTGTAATGCCCAAGCATTTCCAAGCCAGTGCAAGCCGGCTGACACTCAGAGCTTTTGTCCCCAACTTGCACTATGCTCTGAGTGTATGTGTATCCCATAAATGCATATGTTGAAATCTTCACCTCCAAGGTGATGTTACTGGGAGGTGGGATCTATGGGAAGTAATTAGGTCCTGAGTGTGGAGCCCTCATGAAGGGGATTAGTGCCCTTATAAAAGAGGCCCAAGAGAGCTCCCTCATTCACTGCCACCATTTGAGGACACAGTGAGAAGACACCATTTATGAACCAGGGAACTGCCTTCATCAAACATAGAATCTGGCAGTGTCTTGGTCTTGGACTTCCCAGCCTCCAGAACTATAAGCAGTACACTTCTGTTGTTAATAAGCCACCCAGTTCATAGTGTTTTGCTATCGCCCATAGGGACTAAGACGCCTGGTGAACTAATCAGGCCACTCCAAAGCTGCTCCTTGACATACAGCAGGGGGCATAAAGCCAAAAAGACTGATCAGCCCTTTCCCCCTGCAACTCACCCTCATCTCTGGACTGAGACGAGGGTGAGGAAAAGGAAACTAGAGAAATAACGGGAGAGTGGCAAGGGCTCTCCTTAAAGAACTACAGGACCCTGGACCTACTCCACCTCCTGCAGGCATTCCTCTGATAAAGAAGGCAGCCAGGACTTAGTAGTGAAACCAAAGGGGAGAAAAGAGGTTTATTTAAGCTTCCATAACCTTCATCAGTTATCTCAAATGAACAAAAGTAGTGTAAGTGACAAAATGTGTTTGCTGTGCAGCAATTTCAAAACAAGACTGCTCACAATGAGATACCACTTCATACCCGTTAAGATGGCTAAAATCAAAAAGACAGAGCAAGTGACGAAATGTGTTTGCTATGCCAATGCAACTTCAAAACAAACTGGCTTACAAGGAGATATTACTTCATACCCACTAGGATCGCTATAGTCAACAAGAGCCAGATGCGGTGGCTCCCATCTGTAATCCCGGCTACTCAGAAGGCTGAGGCAGGAGGATCGTTTGAGGCCAGGAGTTTGAGACCAGCCTGAGCAACATAGCAAACGTGTTTGAGAAACAAAATATATTTTTTGTCTGTAAAAAAATAAAATCGAATTAGCTGGGTATGGTTCACATACTTGTAGTCCAACCTACTCAGAAGGCTGAAGTGGGAGGATCAACTGAGTATAGGAGTTTGAGGCTACAGTGAGCCACGATTATGCCACTGTACTCCAGACTGGGTAAAAAAGCAGAGACCCCCATCTCCTAAAAAATAAATGTTGGTGCAGATGTGGAGAAATTGAAATCCTTAGACATTGCTGTTGGGACTGTAAAATGGTGCAGTCACTTTGGAAAATGGTCTTGTACTTCCTCCAAAGGTTAAACGCAGAGTAATCATATGGCCCAGAAACTCCACTATTCCACTCTTCGGTACACACTCCAAGAGAAATGGAATATATGTCCACACAAAAACTGTACGTGATTGCTCATGGCAACATTACTCACAACAGCTAAAAAGTAAAAACAATCCAAATGTCTATCAACTAATGAATGAACCAAAATACTGCATATCTATACAAAAAGTATTCAGCAAAAAGGAATGAAGTACCGATACATGCTACAACATGAATGAACCTTGAAAAATTTCCTCCTTTTATGCTAAGTACAAAAGGAGGAAACCAGTACAAAAGACCACATATCATATGATCCAATGTATAGGAAATGGTCCAGAAGGCAAATCCACAGAGACAGAAGGTAGATTAGTGATTGCCTAGGGCTGGGTGTGATGGTGAGAACTGGGGGCAGAAGCAGGTGTTGATAGCTAAAGGATATGCTGTTTCTTTTGGGGATGATGAACATGTTCTAACATTGACTGTGGTGATAGTTGGACAACTCTGTGAGTATACTAAAATCCACTGAATTGCACACTTGAAATGGATAAATTGTATAGTATGTGAATGTTAATTCTATCTCAATAAAGCTATTACCAAAAAAAAAAAAAAACCCTCAGTACTAAGACCGCTGCCTTTAATCATTTTTCTGTTAATAAATTCTGTGTCCATATTCCTCTCTCCATATCTGCCCCACTGGAGAAATCAGGGCAAGTGTTCCAAAACGCTGGTTTCACTCAAGGCTCAGGGCTCAAACTCGGGTGACTAACTGGCCTGGTTTGCCAGAACCATCCCAGCGCTAGTCCTGAAAATCCTATATCCCGGGAAAGCCCTCATCCCTGGGAAAACTGGGATGGTTGGTCCCCCTCGTGCAAACCTTTGCCCACAACACAGGTAAATTCTGCCCTTTGGTGTTGCCAATGGCTAGAATATCAGCAATCCCTCCCCTTTTGGGGTATAAATCATCCTTGAGCTCCCCCTAATGGACAAAATGTATTTTTATTATTGTTGTTCCCATTTTATCGATGATGAAACTGAGGTTCCAAGAGGGGAACTAATTTGCTAACAGTACACAAGAGTTGGAAACTGAATCTAGGTCTTTTTCCAAAGCCCAAGGTAGCCCTTCCACTCATTAGATTGCCTCTCACCACCACCAGGTTGATTGTCCAGGAACACTCTTAGATGGTTCTTGCTGCTTGAGGAAGGGAGTCAGACATGCAAAGAGAAGAAACATGAATTTGCAGCTGCAGGACAAGGAGACCTGTACAGCTTAATGGTTAACAGTGCAGAATCTGGAGCCAGACTGCCTATATTTGAATCTAGGCTTTGCCACTACTTAGCTGTGTGACCTCAGACCAGTTACTTTAACTGACTATGTCTGTTTCTCCATATGTAAAATGGAAATAATAATACAGTGTGTGTGCTTATATATGTATATGTATGTACATGTCTGTGTATATGTGTTTGTGTATCATATACACATATCATAGGATAACAATAGGAAGTACCTAAATCATTAAGTATGAGAGGCTTAGAACAGAGCTGGGCACATAACAAGTTTATTAAATAAATGAAAGTCAGCACTGATTCTTATACTCAGAATTGGAAAGAAATTAGATTTGGCCTAATCAAAACCAGGCAATGGAACCACATCATAGAAATGAACTCTGACATTCTGTTCAGAGTTCTGTTCCCACCTATGAAAATATTTATGGTTAGAAAGGATATCAGAGGTCAAAGATCAACTCAATGAAATAAAACGAGGAGGCAAGATTAGAGAAAAAAGTGCAAAAAGGAATGAACAAGTCTCCAAGAAATGTGGGACTATGTGAAGAGACCTAACCTACGTTTGATAGTTGTACCTGAATGTGACGAAGAGAATGAATCCAAGCTGGAAAATACTCTTCAGGATAATATCCAGGAAAACTTCCCCAAACTAGCAAGGCAGGCCAATATTCAAGTCCAGGAAATACAGAGAACACTACAAAGATATTCCGCAAGAATAGCAACCCCAAGGCATATAATCATCAGATTCACCAGGGTTGAAATGAAGGAGAAAATGCTAACGGTAGCCAGAGAGAAAGGTCAGGTCACCCACAAAGGGAAGCCAATCAGACTCACAGCAGATCTCT